ATGCGCACCTTCGAGCTCGAGCTCAGCTTCTTCCCAGCCTTGTACCACGTCACCTCTGTCTGGGCCTGGGCCACCTCACAGCTCAGCATGGCGCTGGCCCCCGCCTCGGCCTGCACCTTGCTCTGTGCTGCTTGCTGCTTGGCAAACACCGCTGCAGGCTCTGGAGACAGAGAGGGACACGCCATCAATCAGAGACACCAACCTGATGCCAACCCAGTTTACAGACACCTCAGCATCAGAGCGTAATAATTCCCCACCACACCCAGGGATGCCGTGTGTCCCATGGCTTGTCAGACTTGAGTTCACAAACACAAGGTTGCCTGTCACAAAGCCGCAAGTGTATAGTTTGACCACAGTCTCACTCAAGAGCAATTCTTTGGTTAAGGGAAGTTGCCTAAGGCTTTTCTAGCCTCTGCAACTAATCTGTTTTTTCCCATCTGACTGTCAGCACTGAGTAGGTGTGACAGTCTTGTTCATAAATGTATCCCTACTGTGTGTAACATGGGACGTCTGTCTACTTAAAGGGCATAACTCACATAGTGTTGGTTTTGTAGCTCAGTGATGTGTACATACACATAACCCAGGTAACCGTCAATTATATCAAATATAGAATATGTCTAGTCCCCCTGTCACCACTGACCTTCTCTCAAATGTAGCCACTATTGTGATCTCTTCGTTGGTAATACAACATGAGTAATAACATTAATATCAACAGAATTGTCCATCTGTGAAAGGCTGAACTGACAGATCTGTTTTGTCACATGTATTTTGACAGTGGCAACACATAAAAGAGAAGCTGCTGATGCCGCTCACATACCAAAAAACACCTTGGGGGATTCTTTTTCTTGGTTTGGAAGTATAGGGTCATGGTTTCAATAGACACTCCAGCCAACTGCCCAGCATTGCTTTTAATGTTTCTGTTCTTTTCATTCATTATGCAATGCCTGGGTGCTTAAAAGCTTGCTAAGAGCCATGTATAGTAAGCAACTGATCTCCTTTGCCCAGAGCAGCAGAGGCAAGACAAGGGTCATGAGCTGAAGGAGGATGTGGACTGTGTGTCTGCATCCTTCACTATGAGAGCAGAAAACCCAGATGGTATTGCAATACTATCACTGAATGTTCTGATCAAAGAGTTTATACAGGAACACTCATCAAAATGCATGATGATACACTGTATGTCCTCTTCAAGAAATCTGCTTAAGAAATCTTTCCTTTTCTACATTTTCTAATATCTTTGTCATTCTACCTTGCACAGTAAGTGCTAACCCACTAATTCGTTTTGAGTATGGCATGGGATAGGGGTTGTTGTTGTTATGTGCCATCGAGTCG